TTCTGTGTTATACCTCTGAGGATGCCAGTCACAGCTGCTGGCGAAACGTCAGGTACTACAATGCCAAGACCACAGCCATACAGCCCGTAAAATCTACAACAACTAATCTTATTCAATTGCTTTCAAAGGGATTTATTGGCAGGGATTGTACTTATTGTATCTATTTGCATGTAACCTATTAGAACTTGTGCATTTGTTAAAACCCCTTATTAGACTGGGTATTAACTGCACTTAAAAATACCCTTAACATTTAGGTTAGTTCTACATGCTTCCTGCTCACAATAATGATTTATCAAATTAGTATCAGAAAATCTTTTTTTTTTAAGCCCCGGAGGGGATTTTTTATTGCATTTTCTATAGACTACAAACTACAATGAAAAAATGGGGAGGGAACATCTACATCTAAGGAGAAAGTAGAGAAAACAACGAATAACTGAAACCCCAAGAATAGGAGATCATTACATCAGTTTATATAAATGCTAGTCTTAAATGCTAGTAATACATTGAACATAGTTGATTAAGCTAAATTGTTTGTCTTTTTAACCATTTTTTAAACTGTTTTAAGAACACTCCAAGAGCATCATTTACAACAAATGCTTTAAGGCACCATTCAGAGTTCTTCAGCCTTCACTTTGTTTTATCTTTTCTAATCCTCAATTGGTATTCTCGTTTAGGGGCAGCCGCCCCCTTTTCTGAAGCAGAGTCCTCTTCGGAAGACACAGAGTCCAATTCGCCACTAGATTTGCTGTCATCTTCTTTGGCGTCCTCAGCTGGCTCTCCCAGTTGCAGTCTTCAGAACTCATGCGTTTTGGAAACAGAGTCAACTTTTTCTTTTTTGTCCTGCAGTTTGAAAATGACGCCTTCGGGGGTCAGCCATCTGTAGGAAATGCTGTTTGTTTGTAAGAAAAGAATTAAGTCTTTGTACTTCTTCCTCTTCTTCCTTATTTCAAATGGAATGTCTTTTAGAATCCTAATGGTATTGTCTCCCATTTTCAGGGGTTGCTTTCAGGATTAAATCTCTCACATGTCTCTTTGAGAATCTAACCACTATCTCCCCAGGCAGATTGTTTTTCTTGATGTAGACAGAATAGGCCCCATACACCACATCCATTTTGCTTATAAGGTATTCCGCTTTTAAATCTGCAACTGGAGCTATTGCATCGCTCAAAAGTTGCTTTAGATTCTCGTCTTTTGCTTCAGGGACCCCTTGGAACCGGAGGACCAGGTTAGCTTTCTCCATTTGCAATTGTAAAAGTTGAGATTCATCCGAAGCTTGCTTCCTTTCCAGCATTTGCACCTTTTTCTTGACTTTTTTAAGAGTTGGCATCTATTTCCTTTACTTTCTCAGCTGTTTGCTCCGTCTTTTTTGTAGTTTCAGACAGTTGGAGCTGCTGAGCTGCAAAGTTCTGGTTTAGAGTTGTCAGCTGCTGATTAATGTTAGTCATCTGATCCAGTAGAGGGCGCAAAGAGTCCGCCAAAAGTTTAGAGAACTCAGTGGTCTCTTCTGGTCGCGGGCTCATGCTCCCCGGTGGTTTCACTTTTGCTTGTTTGTCCCTGTCCGCTTTTCCCCACGCCATTTTTATGGATTGTTTACTTCTATAAAAACTTGCAAAAGTTTCTGAAATTCGCCCACACGCTTGTCCGCGCTCTGGTAAGTTTCTTAAAACAGATTTCAACGCTTTTGATTAGTATCAGAAAATCTGAGCATTATTTCGCTACATTTTTGCTAGAATTTCTTGAAGAACTTTCCTGCAATAGCCCCCCCCGCCCCCCGTTTTTTGTATGAGCCACTTCCTCGTTTGTTTCCTGGCAGACTGAGAAAGTGCATGAAACAAGCACCTTTGAACATGTGCAGCAGAGCCAAACTTCAGAACAACCACAACTGTAAACTATCTCAGACTGTATAAAATTGATTTAAATGCTTCAGTGGTCACTATTTCAAAGCATTCTATAGTAGTAAAAGTACAAAATATCCCTGAAGGTATAAATGCAATATTTGGAAACATTTTGTGTTATGGAAAACAAATGAGTCAACAACAGAGATGTGGTCGCACGGCCACCTCAGGTCAGTAATTGTTCTCTTTTATTTGGCTCTAGTCATCCCTCAAGTGGAGAAATGAGATGCACAAATCTGTTCCCTAATACAAAAATAACTGAGGATACATGTGGCTTTTGTTCTGAGGGATACTCACAGCTGTTATCCTGATTCATTGGGTTTACTTCCTAGGGTTGTATCAGTCATCTCAATGGAGTGAATCAGAATCATGATGCTGATGCAGGGAACCAGCTGTGGTGAAGTGCCTTCCACTCCAGGAGTTCAGTGCCAGAGTTTACAGCGCCACAGGGTGTTGAATATGCACTCTGTACAGTCACAGAGGCTATATGGTATTCCTTGCTAGTTAGCAGGAGGAAAGTTGAAAAGCAAGTTGGTATGAATCAGCATACTGATGCAGGGCCATTCGGGGCCATAGAAAGGTGGATAACCCTGACCAGAAGAGGACAATGGGCACTTGGGCAGCCATGAGTCACGCCTAAGACAGGGGACTTCAGGCTCAGTGACAGAGCACGGGCTTTGCAAGCAGGTCCCATGTTCAATCTCCTGCCTCTCTTGTTGAAAGGACCAGATAGTAGGTTATGTGAAAGACCTCTACCTATGACCCTGGAGAGCTGCCGCCAGTCTGAGTAGACAATACTGACCTTGATGGACCAAAGGTCTGACTCCATACAAGGCAGCTTCATGAGTTTGTCTCTACATGCACCTTCAGGAGAAAGAGCTCATGAGAGCAGCCATGAGCACGAAGTTGAAAACCGGACCTAAGGTAATGGGTGAGCCAAAATGAATGCAGCTTCTCTCTCGTTTTCGTTTTAAAGACTAGTGCTAGGGTAAGACAATGTGTGTTTATTCCGATTTCTTTTACCCTTGCTCAGGCGGTTGTGTTAGCCTATGAAATGCGTGCACATTAATCCCAGTTCAGTCTGCACTTACCAGGAGCATCGAAAGGGGAGGCAGATGTTAAGCCCTGCTTGCCCAGAGAACTCACATAAGAGAGATTGGTCCCCTCTAGTGATTTGGATAGAGAGGGAGACTCAAAGATGGTACTAAGGTTTTTTAAGATGCAAGAAGAGCTAGGATACAGACCCTCAGGCTGGACAAACCCCTAAGATTTGATTTGCTAAGTGGAGAAAAGTGGAGAGTGGGGGAAGAGGAGTCTCCTTGGGGGTCTAGTGGCTGGGGACTCAAATTGGTAACTTCATTATTCCAGATGGGGCAGGACCTGGTGCTGGCAAAGCCGGTCTCACCAGAATAACACCTCATGAACCAACCTGACCGGAATATTCATGTTATCACGGTATACAGGGACCTGCATGGGTGGTAGCTTCTTTTCTGTATTTGGCTACAGCATTCACACACAAAGGCCTTGATCCAGTTAATCATAATTAAGGCCCACTTAAAAAACCCAATAGAAGAGTCACTGGTAGCTAGCATTCTATTGGTGTCAACAGAACACAGTACAGATCTGAGCAGAGTTTCACACTTCCAAGTTGCGTTCAGTGGGCCTTGGAAGGGTATAACTGAGAATTGCATTTAGTCATTTGTAACTTTATATAGAGCGGGGACAAAGAGAAGAGTTGGGGGTCCAACATTTCTATGAACTTCAGATGGCTTGCATCATTGCGTTCTTGAAGACCTCAGGGTTTGATCCGGTTGCTTCTGAAGTCTGTAATCATATTCCCGAAACTTTGCAATTTTGTTTTGTAGAAGGGTATCTTTTTTTTTTTTTTTATAACCAAACTAACTAACCCTTTGCATTATTTGCATGTGTATGTATGCGAATCCTTCACCTTTTAACCAAGACAGGGAGAGCAGAACTACTGCCAGGCAACTATATTGCTGAGTCTTTTCCCCAAGTTGAGGATTCTATCTTAATGAAAACCTGCAATTTCTCTTAGTCTGGGAAACTCACAGATGGACCTATGCTGGTCAGGAGTGCTAAAGGCTGTATCCTAAACACACTGTCTGTTGGACTGCAGAGATGGCCTGTATCAGTATCCCCCGATTAACATGCTACTGGTGCAGAGATCACAACATTTCATAATTGGGTATGCCTTGTTTGGGCTTTGTTTACATAGCCACATGAAATGGGAAGATGAAACATACTACCTTCAGTAAAGAAATGTGTGCAATTTTACGTTTGACACTTCACACATGGATTTTGTGTTAATTCCTCTGAGATGTAGGTAAACGTGTCCCTTGCTCGAAAGCCAGTCGAATCTGACTCTAGGGATGCAGTGCTCATCTCAGTTTCCAAGCTGAGGAGCCAGCACTGTCCAAAGACATTTCCGTGGTCATGTGGCCGGCGTGACTAGATGCCGAGGCACACGGAACGCTGTTACCTTCCCACCGAAGCGGTACCTAATTTATCTACTTGCAATTTCTTGCTTTTGAACTGCTATGTTGGCGGGAGCTCACTCTGTCACGCGGCACTCAGGTCTCGAACTGCTGAACGGTCTGCAGTTCAGCGTCTTAACCACCTTCCTTCAAATAAATTTTTAACAAGCAAAGCAGTTCTTGGCAAATTAGCAACGGAGCTAGGGAGGGGTTTTGGTGATCAGTCGATTATTGAAAAAAAATATGCATTTTACTGCATGGTTATGGATCTCCACATGCATTGGAAGGCGGTACATGTTTGAACTGGCCGCACTGGCACGAAATCGAGACACAATAACCTAGAGTCACTTGCTGTAAAATACACAGGCAAAACCGGGAATACACTTCCTCATAATAAGACAGAAGGGTCTATGGAGAATCTGGCAAGTACTATGCTTGCATCTTGGCTTACGGAAGACCTGCAGTAATCTTGAAGAGACAAGAGAAAGAACAAGGCATAAGCAAACTAATTCAGAATACTCCCAGTTGTGCTGTACATTTAGCAGAGTTGTGGGCCAAAAGACAGACCTCCATGCCAACCTAAAATCTATAGATCAGTTTTAATGCAGCATGAACGATGAAAGGGAGGGCACACACCAGAACACAACACTGTTTTATGATATAAACATTTTTTAAAAGAACAAATTTAACCCTGCCCCTTATAAAATGAAACAGCTGACTTTTGAGAACTTATTACATTCACATAATCATCCTAATAAGTACAAAACACTGTGCTTTTCTAGAAACCTGCCTCTCCCACATTCTCTGTTGGTACATTTTCCAGAGAAAAGTCTCATATACTTAATCTATGAATCTTGCTTCCAGGAAGAATTGTAAGTGTTATTGGTAAGAGACTGATTAGGCTCAATGTCTTGCACAGCTCTTCCCTGCAGGAACCACAGTGTACCTTGCTAGAGAGATTTCCTAACATTGCCCGGACCCAAACATTGCAACTTTACACTGGAAAGAACAAAGTCAAAATGCAGCAAGCCCCAAATCTCCCTCCCAGCCCATATGATTTCTCCATTGTAGTCCACAGAACAGAAGCAACTGACCGGGGGGGGGGGGGGATTTCAACAATGCATGCACGTGCATACATTGAATAACTTATTGTAAATACATTTTTAAGTGGCTTGGTGGTGGGGGTTGCGTGTTGTATGAAAAATAAAAGTCTGGTGAGAAAGACAGTTTAAACGCACCAACATCTCTGTTGGATTTGGAAAAATTAAGCAACCATCCATTTTTGGCGGGGCATGCTAAAACCTCATTGGCTCAAGGCAGAATTCAAACGAGTCCTGTTCATTAGGGAAATATCACTGCAGTCCTCTTCAGAAGTGAATCCCAAGCCTCCGTCTTAGGAATCACTAGCTCCGTATCTGATAGAACAGAATCCCTTTGGGGTGTATGACAGATGTTCAGTACCCTCCCAGTTCAGCTTTCTGTTACTGCCAGAGGTTTCCTGGGAGCCTGATCCGAAAGGGCATTCCTCTTCTGAGATGTGCCCCCAAAGCTATCCAAAACAGAGACAGGCGTATTGGTAACAGCCACACAGTGCAAACTTTGCTTTTGAGAATCGGCAGGCTTGTTTCCTAGCGATCAATTCTTCCTCCTCCTACTGGGGTTATTCTTCTGCTGTGCAGCTGACTTTTCCGTGGCCCAACGAAACGACTTTCCAGCAGTTTGGCTTTCAGCAGTGGAGTTGGAAACAAGCTACCTTGTAACACCCTGAAGACATACCTAAAATATAAAAAGAGTGGGGCAAGTTGTAAATAAACGTAGGTTCAGTGTGATACTTGAGTACGTGGCCCTTGGGAAAATGTACTGTTCTGACTTGAGAGAAGAAAACTTCCGTATCCATGTGGACGTAACTACCTTTCTCTCAAGAACTAAGAACCACAGATCCAGAAGCTGTTTGCTTCATCCAAACAATTGCCAGTTATCCTGGAACCAACAGAGGACTGATCATCAGAGAATAACTTGGTGATTCTGACTGCAGGTAGGTTATGTATTTATTTATTTACATTTTTAGCTATTCGAAAAAAAGTAAGTGGGTAAAAACTCATTGAGGGTATGTGTAGTGTAGTGCCCATATTTATTTGTCCATTACATTTTTCTTTTCCCCCTTCCTGCAGAGACCTCAGAGTCAGAATTCCAAATAAGCTTGCAGGCTCAAAATGGTTGGGGACCCCTGCTTTAGCTACTAGTGTTTGCTGGATGAATTTGGGGATTGGGGTAATGTCTACATAGGAACACAATAGTCTGAGATCTGTTATCGGATATAATGAATGCACTCTTTCAGGAATGGCTCCTGCAGAGCATCTCTTGCCAGATGCTAATGGCTTCTGCAGAGCATCTCTTGCCAGAAAGAGGGATGCACTCTTTCAGGAATGGCTCCTGCAGAGCATCTCTTGCCAGATGCTAAGTTTGCAAGAATACAGCTGTGCTCTTTCACAATAGAGGGAACGCTGCCTTAGAGGGAACGCTGCCTATAGTAACTCATTTCCCTCAAATACATGCTGTGGTGGTAGTGAAGGCAACAGTTGCACGTCACCTACAAAAGTAGTGCTGTTTGCTTCATACCACTTCACACATTATTGTAAGACATATACCTCAGATAAGGACTGGAGTCTAGTAGCGCCTTAAAGACCAACCAGGTTCCCAGGGTATACATTTTCGAGAGTCAAACCTCTCTTTGTCAGAAAGCTCTTCTTGTTCTCCTACAGCAGACCAACACTAAAAATGTAAAGTGTGAATGTGAGAAGCAGGTGTTTGAGAAGACAGGCACACTTTACTAAGAGCTGTGACTGGCTATGACCAGAACTCCCCTGCTGAGTGTATACTCTGTGACCAGAACTCCCCTGCTGAGTGTATACTCTGTGACTGACTCAGATCTATTACAGGGTAATACATGAAGCAAAGGCAAAAGAACCGCAGCACACCGGGTCACACGAAAATGAATTTCTTTCTACCCCAAAGAGTTCTGGGTCTGAACTAGTAAAATACCTGGGAAACAGGGCCACCAATGTTGACATGATGCAAACCAAGTAGAACCTTGGATCACTCAGGTGCCTCTGCATGATCCAGTATGGGTTGGCCGGTGGGTTGCAGAGGAGGCAGGAAGCTCCGAAGATCACGGCAAAGAAGAAATACAGTACAGCACTTCCAACCATAACACCAATGAGTATCCAATTCTGATTTTTTGTAAAAAAAAGGACAAGCGTATGAGAACCTGCTTCTCTGCGCGCATGACGAACAGAAAGGCAGAAACACAAGTCTAGACAACCCCCTTCCCCCATAATTCCTTGTTATGGAATAAGCCCGGGGATCCTTCGGCTAGTCTGCTCCCTTTCCCCATTCCTCCTCTTGATAACTGAAAGACTTCTGTTTTACGGGAAAAACAACAACTGCTGTGTCCAGATCTCAAACTGTAGTTTGCTCTCTCCACCGCAAACCAGATTTTTAAGTAGTGGTTCAGAATACTGGCTTGTAGGGGACAGAACAAAACCATGGTTTGTGTTTTGGATGTAGCTACAATACTGAAAAAGAAGTCTCTCACTGCTGTGCCATAAATGTAGGAAAGAGAAGCTTAGACCCAAGGTTCATTACCATTGTCTTTCTCTGCAGACCGTGCTACACAGAGAAATTCACCATTTGTTCCAATATTTATTTATTACTTTAATTTATACCCCGCCCTCCCCGCGAGCAGGCTCAGGGCAGCTTACATAATTGGTCTATAATGACCATTAATTCACATAAAAACGGTTTAAAATGTCAACTACAGTAAAACATAAACTCATAAAGTGCTAGTGCTGATACATTGGGTACATAAGATGGCAAGCTAGAAATGCCATACAACCAAACAGTTTGCCACTCAATGGTCTTCCTGAGCACAGTGGTGGAGGCCAGATATTAAAACTACAGGCTGGCTCGTTGGTAGTAGTGGTGGCGGCTCCTAGTTGAAAGCCTGGTGGAAGAGCTCCGTCTTGCAGGCCCTGCGGAACTGCACAAGATCCCGCAGGGCCCTGATCTCTTCCAGGAACTCGTTCCACCAGTACGGAGCTGCCACCGAGAAAGCCCCGGCCCTAGTGGTGGCAAGCCTGGCATCCTTGGGGCCCGGAACGGTCAGTGGGTTCTGGGACCCCGACCTCAGTGCTCTCTGGGGTATATATGGGGAAAGGCGGTCCCTCGGGTATGTCGGACCCTGGCCATAGAGGGCTTCAAAGGTAAGCACCAACATCTTGAAGTGAATTCGGAATGCTATTGTTGTTCCCTTCACAACTCTCAGGGTGGATGCAGACAGCTGAGAAGCCCGTGGGAGCTGCTCGGATGAACACTGTGTGGCGCCTTTGGTGCAGAGGCTTTCCGTAGACTCCAACCAGACAGTTAAGCCCGTGTTACCACCCTTGTGCTTTTATTTTTTTTATCATTTAAAGTTACAGGCCGCCCTTCCCTGAATACACAAGAACTCAGGGCGACGAACAACAGTAAGAATATTCATAAACGAATAAGACATTGGCAATGGTTTCAATAAAATAGGACGGCAACATTCTCAGATGCCGCTAAAACATCAGAATTTCCAATCGTATCACTGACTCACGGGGGAGGTAGGGAGGAAGTGGGGGGGGGAGTGCCAGACAAGAAACTGAATAAATGAAATAATAATAATAATAATAATAATAATAATAATAATAATAATAATAATAATAATATGGGTACTTGTTGCTGTCCTCGACCAAAAGCCTGACGGAACATCTCTGCCTTGCAAGCCCTGCAGAACTGCATTAGGTCCCACAGGGCGGGGATGTTAATTGTTGTGGCTTCCGTGCAGTCCCACATGGGAACTGCGCTGTCGCAGGCCAGCCACGGAAAAGATCTCCAGGCGTTCTGATAGACTAGGAGCGCCCCTCCTCCCTCTGGCGCTTTCCCGCCAAAACGCTCACATGACCAGGAAGGGGGGGGGCGCTACTACCTCAGTTCTCTTTCTGCCGCCACGGAGAGATCATCTCCACTGCTGTTCTCTGTGTTTTCCCCTCACCTCAGTAATTGCGTGAACAAAGATGTAGCTGACACCCCACCGTCCCCTTTAAGTGCGGGTGCCATGATTTTACGCAGCTCCCCCTCCCCCATTTGAATCCTTCCTCAAATAAGCAACAGCTTAACATCACAATTGAAGTGCAATGAGAGGAAGAAGGTGGTATTTTTAACAGGTCTTTATGAAGTCTTCAGAATTAAGCGAGTAGTTCAGAAAAAGCGAATATTTTCAGTTCCAGTTTTTCTGTATTAACGGGCTTGAGACTTGCACTGCTAAGTCTCCACACAGTCCCCCCCTCTCTTCTGGTTCTGTTGTTGATCATTTCAGCCACTTGGGGCTAGCTATCCCTGACACAAATGGCCCTACTAATTGCATTCAACTTCCACCCTGGCTCATGAGTAGGCCTGCAAAGCCCCTGGTTGGGGGGGGGAGTCCCCTGTCCCCCCCCAACTCCCATTGCCTGCAGCCACTCAAAATGGCAGCCGGGGGTAGGGAATCCTGGTGCCAGTTGCAGTATCATGTCACTCCTGGTAAAAAGCTGGAAATGACATAGGGTAGCTCTAGGAATCAATGGAAACTCAACAGGGTTACCATAGAGTTTCCAGCAATTTTTAGAGCAATCCATGTCAGTGACATGATGCCACGGCTGGTGTCTCCCCCATATCCCTGCCCACAGTCCTGCTGTAACAGGGTTGTGATCCGCACTGCCATGTCTACTCATGATATGACTAGAATTTACCCACAAATGAATCTGTTGAAGAATGGATCCTATGAAACTGAGAGAAGGGGACGGGGGTCAGCTGACCTCTCAAATTGTCATTAAGGGAGCAACCAGTTGTTTTGTATCAGGCCTGATTCTCACATTGCTTTTAGATATGGTGCAGTTAGAATAATAGAATCATAGAGTTGGAAGGGACCTCCAGGGTCATCTAGTCCAACCCCCTGCACAAGGCTGGAAATTCACAAATACCTCCCCCTCCACATCTGCAGTGACCACTGGTCCACGTCCAGAAGATGACAAAAAACCTCCAGGATCCCTGGCCAAACCAGCCTGGAGAAAAATCGCTTCCTGACCCCAAAGTGGCAGTCAGCATTTCCCTGGGCATGTAAGAAAGGGCCACAAGAACTAAGCACTGAGGCAACCCTTCCTGCCCTCCCTCTCGTGATCTGCCTAAGGTCACAGAGTCCGCATTACTGTCAGATGGCTATCTAGCCTCTGTTTGAAAACCTCCAAAGACGGAGAGCCCACCACTTCCTGAGGAAGCCTGTTCCACTGGAACCGCTCTAACTGTCAGGAAGTTCTTCCTAATGTTTAGCCAAAAACTCTTCTGATTTAATTTCAACCCGTTGGTTCTGGTCCGACCTTCTGGGGCAACAGAAAACAACTCCACGCCATCCTCTATATGGCAGCCCTTCAAGTACTTGAAGATGGTTATCATATCACCTCTCAGTCATCTCCTCTCCAGGCTAAACATACCCAGCTCCTTCAGCCTTTCTTCATAGGACTTGGCAAACACAGTAAACACTGTTTGAATGGGTACTTGTGTGGCTAGCTCATATTGCCTGTCACATTTGAACTGCCAAAGCCTATTTGCTGTGGTGCTGTAAATAGAAGGGTATATTTCAAGCAACACATCACCATGTTGCCGATAACAGTACATTCTGTGCTAATCTTTCCCAACCCAGGAATAATGTGTGAATTAAGCCTTAGAATGAATGAAGGAAGAACATACTCACCAGGGATTTACTTTCAATCATAAGATGTAGAATTATTATTAAGAAGATAGAAGTGTTGAGAGGTCCCCCAAAGGAAAAGATGTCTACATCAGAACCAGCGTAAGTCTGCAAAGGAACAAATGTTCATAGGTTCTTGCCTCCATTCCCACAAAGGTCCATACAGCACTCTTTCTATTTTTTTCCTACTTTTCTTCTCACTAACAGTTGAAGGATATTTGAAGACTTAGAGCTAACAAGCGTTGTACTAATATTTTATATGTCTTGAATGTTCTTAATGCTGGTCAGGTTTTACCAATTTTAGGGTTTTAGGGTTGGGTTTTTTTTGTACTTCTAATAGGAGTACCTGCTAATATGGGGCTGCACCTGTTCCGCTAATATTGGCATCCTCCTCTGCTGTAAAGTGGCCTCCCCTGATGCAAGAGACTCCAACCTATCTTGGTTCAATAGCTATTTTTTGCCGTCAAGTCACAGCTGACTTATGGCAACCCCGTAGGGCTCTAAGGTCAAGAGACGTTTAGAGGTGGTTGGCCATTGCCTGCCTTTGCATCACAACCCTGGTATTCCTTGGAGGTCTCCCATCCAAATACTAGCCAGGGCCGACCCTGTTTAGCTCCCAAGATCTAACAAAGATTGAGATAGCCTGGGCTATCTAGGCAAAATTGGACATTTGATTTTTAAAACAAGGTCAGAAGAGCAGAAGACAGCAGCAAGTGATTAGAATGTACTTTCCCACCCACTTACCATGTAACAGATGAAAAAGCAAGCCAGGCTTTGATAGGCGGCATCTATGAGGTTGATCAAGAAGGTCGAGGATACATAAGGCTGAAAAATAAACATGGGAGAAAACGCATCCCTTAGCTTCAGGCAGATACACAGTCAAATAATTCTGGGGGGGGGGGGGGAAACGACATCTTCTCATGTTGCTGAGGCTGTTGAGCTTCCAAAAATTATGCTCAGAACCTGCACAGCATCAGTATAGAAGATCTCAGCCCTCCAGTGAGACCCTGAGCCGGACTGCTGCATATCAAAGAAAAGAAACGAGACAAACCATTTTTCAAACAAACAAAACCAAACAGCAACGTGTTGTCTGCATACAAAAACACAGACTTTAAGTTGCAAAATCAAGATAAGAAATTGTCCCAGTCAGAAAGAGTTTCCATTTGCCCGTTTACCAACAGAAGCTGATTCAGTAAAAGACGTTTTCTTTACCATTTCTATTTTCAAGGAATCGATCTGGCAATGTTACGTATTACCAAGAGTTGCGCATGGACTGCACACAAGACAATGTGAAACCTGTACACAAAGATTGTGTCAACGGGGCTCAGTTTCTGTGATCTATGTCCTACATTAACCCCCCCCCCCCAAAAAAAAAATCTCTAACGCTCACCTGCTGTGCTATTTTGGCCAAATAGTTTCACCTCAGTTGTCCTTCCTGTTTAACGCATCTAGACTAGCAGCCTTCTGGACAGTTTCAGGCTGACTTTTACAGCATGTCTGCACTACTACTCAGCGTACAACGAGGCCCATGTCTCTGTCAGAGCTTCCTTCTGCATGAGACTTAAATAAGCAACAGCGGTCCACAGGGAAGCTAGTGATAACATGACATCAATCCACCAACGAGGGCCTCATGTATAACTGACAGCTATTCTCTTAAGGCCACCTACATTAACTGGCTAGAGGCCTAGTGAAATAATGCCTTTCATTTCCATGTCCAGACCAAAGGATCTGAACAAGGGAGTGTGTGTGGGGGGGGGATCAGGTTCAACTGAGGAGGGACAGGCAACACAATAACAACTGAGTCAGGCGCATGGGCCAAGCCAGAGAGTACCTCAGATCTCTGACTGGCCTTGTAAAGTTCTGGCAGGTGGAGAAGGACGTTTGCAGATATATCTTGGTCCAAAACACCATAAATAACGGGTGGCACTGATGTGAAGAGAACGTTGAACAAAATCAGGCTCCAGTGGTCAGTCATGGCTATTCCGGAAAACCCACTGAAGAACTGATACCAGAACAGGACGGCTACGTAGACCTGTTAAGATGAAAGGGGATAACGAAAGGGGAGGAAGAGATAAATTGGAGGGGAGAAAGAGGAGCAAACAGGGGGACGACGGATTCAGAGAGCAGTCCACGAGAGAAAACACATTCTGCATATGCCAGTATTTAAAAAAATGGACCCTTCCCCAAACCTTAGAACAGCAGTGAAGGGACTGTTTATGTATTAAAAATATATTTATACTCCTGCTTTTTCCCTTGTGGCTCAAGGTGGCTTCCAAAAACTAAAAACATACAACATATGGTAAAGCCCATTTACCCGGCTTCCCACCCCTCCACCAAACACCTGCATCTTAAACCCAATTAAAAGCCATCGCAAACAAAACTAGGGGTTGATAACTGATTTTTCAGTCTCCAGTTCCTATGATGAAAGATGTACAAAGTACAGCCATTTTTATCCCACCTTTCTACTAAGTGCTAAGGTTAGAATACAAAGCAAAAAAAGGGAGTCCTTCAGAGAAGCCATGACTATGCGCTCAGTTGAACTGAAGGTGGGGAGAAACTCAGTGATGGCTGCTTGAAAATAAACTCCCAGGTAGAGGTGGTTGGCTGGAGTCTCCAGCAGTACTGCAGAAGAAGAAGAAGAAGAAGAAGAAGAAGAAGAAGAAGAAGAAGAAGAAGAAGAAGAAGAAGAAGAAGAAGAAGAAGAAGAAGAAGAAG